TCAACCATCAAATAGCGCAAGGCTCAAACTGCCGTCATATCAAAGCGAGTAGTATCGACCTGAGTCACTTGCTGACTAATCAGTCCTTGAGTTAATTCGGCTTTCTTCAGCTCAACCCTGACATTCCAGGGTTAAATTTCATGTTTAAGGAAATGAGAGAGATAGAGTCATATTACGACAGTAAGTCGAACCTGCACGTGTATGACATGAGTTAGTGGGTAGTGCACGGTTCTCGTGGTTCAACGACCAAGTAGCGCGATCAGGAACGAGATGAACGTTCCGGCAGCTGTAGAATGCATGGGCGATCGTGGGCTGAGTGAAGATCTTTGCACAAAGGATCATAAACGACCGCCATCTGAGTAAATGGCTATAAGCACACTCCCTACGGCAAGATCAAAAGGCATGCCGCTTTAAACAACGAGAGGAAGACAATGTAATCGGAACGACGGACCGGAAGCTCCACCCACTAGGAAGACGGTAAAAGAAATGTGACCTTCATGATAGGGTGGAAATATATAATGTCATCCATCAGAATGGCTAGACGCTCATACTGCCCACAGAAAGACTCAAGAACGGATTTGACCAGAACGAAGAATCGGAATTTTGCCGATTGGCCCTTTGAAAGCGATTAAGACAGAAAGTATGAAAGAGCCAATGCGCGATGTTGGATGACTGCCAATTAGGATCGTTGGTTCATGAGGTTTGCTGTAGTATGCGCTGGACAATTTTTGCATACTCAATCTATGCAATGCCGCATAACTTGTAAATAGAAACTGTTTCCCGTTCATCACCTCTTCTTTTCCGTCATAACTGGGTCCAGTTGCAAAAATTCTTGAATTTAATCAATACCTCATCATGACTCAGCGGTCCATCAAACAGACCTTGACTACGAATATTACACTGAATGCTTTACTGCTTGAATGGAATCAACGTTGGATTTATTTTCGAGCATAAAAATGCAAAAAAGATAAACAAAACCTGGTTATTACGGAATGCACTCACTAAAGAGTACGAAAAAAAGAGTACAACTGAAAAAAATACCATAAGTACATATCTAAGAAGAATCAGCATTTCAATATGTAACAAATTGCACTGCTACATGACTCAGTTAAGTAGCATTCCTAAAATCACAAAAAAGATACACCATGACTGTGGTTGTAGTACTGCAAGTCAACCGAAAATTAAAGAAGCTTATAACTTATACAAGTACCATTCGCAAGTTAAAACCTGAACGCAGTGCATAATTAAATGATAGTTTTGTCTGTAATCCAGTAGTGAGCACAGCAAGTGTAAGCAAATTTCCGGAAGTTTAACGAATTGAAAGACCGAACATGACGACTAGCATCCTGAAGGCAGTTGTCTTCTCAGTCGCAAGGTACAGCCTTGAAACCCAGTCCTCAAATACCATGAAACTCAAAAACCACGTACCTCCATCACCAGCCAGCGCTATCTGCCAAACACTGCGAGCTTGTCATGGTACAGTCAGGTCACTAATAAGCAATCTTTACTGCTACTTTAAGGAATGAGTCAGAAAAGCTTAAAGACTATCTCCCAACGAAATCTGATAAAATCAAGCAAAACTGAAAGAAATTTGCTGAAAACAGCATCAAAACGGCAATCATAACTATAAATAGCGCATTATGACAGGTTATAGAGTACCAAACCGATACCGACATTTCGGCCTGTGTTTCACCGGTCATCTTCAAGGTGAAGTTTAAGCTTGAAAAAATAAAGATCGAAATAACAATATTGAAATGTCGATATATTGCGCTGTGAATAACGAAGCCATTTTCGACCTGCTTTTTCGGTATGACTATCCGCTACGAAGAACTCCATATTGGGATAGGATCGTACACATCTTTATGCGGGAGGTGATATAATCTTTAGGTAAGTCACAAACGGGAAGACAACGCATAAAATGGTCTTTAACTAGGGATGTCTGACCTTTGGACCAAGCACGGACTGTCTTCAGAGTACTCTGTGTGTGTAAGTGGGTGGGTGTGTGTGCTTTATTACGCGAACTTATTAGACACGACCACATCCTGCAGGGTGAAAAGGAGAAATTCAAATATTCGTCATATCGTTTGCAAATTAAGCAGCTGCACACACCAGATATAAGCATGTTTACCATGCGTGTACAATATTCTGTGCGCAGCACAAGTCTGTCATAATTATTTCGTGCTGGAATGCATGAGCACACACAGCGACAAGGTTAGGTGAAATGGGTGGTTGCGGTGTCAAAGCATAGCCAAGCTTTCAGTATGCGTGGTGCGGCTTCTTAGATCAGTACTGAGAAGCAGTCGCTAGGTGCTATTACCGTATGGGCCAGGCGCAGTATGCGAATATCAACGTTGAGAAGTACATGAAGGAGGATTGCAGAGGCGTAGGTAGAAAGAAGAGGAACGAGCGATTTGACGAAAAAAACAGATTGGCTGTTAGAGAACACAGTTGCCTCAAGTGAATAAGATAGTAATCGCTCCCCCGCACTTTATCAGCAATCAAATTCACATGTCGGAACAAAGATAAATCTTCAGACAGAAGGACTTCAGGATGATTTGTGGAGTTTACACATGAAGCTTTATTGCGACCAGCTTTGAAATGAAGAAACGAAGCATAGAGGGTGAAGAGTTTTCGATCTCGTGTCTAAAAAATCGATTTGCTGATGCTTTCCAGGCTGCACCAACGCATCTGACGAACCTCTGCCGAAGTCG